ACCGCGCCGTCCCCGTTGGCAGATTTGCGCGACAGCACGTGCAAGCCGCCAATCTCGTCTGCGGAGCACAACAGGCTGGTGTAGGACCTTGCAATCTTCAGTTCCTATTTTTTCTACAAGCCTGCATGGGGCCTACAGATCAATCCAGCAGGCACTAATGACAAGATGGTGAAGAAGCGGGCTCCGACCGCGGCGGAGTTGCACCACTTCCACCTGGCGCATTTCCGCTTGTCTGAGGACGCGCCGAATCGCACGCAGGAGAAACCAGATGCCTGTCAGGTTGCGCCCCCCCGCCGCGAAGTCAAGGCCCGTCGCCCTGTCGGCAACGGCGGCGCTGTCAGCAGGGCGCCAAACCCAACAGACATCGAGGATATAGACCGCATCATTCGTGAATTTCAGCATCTCGCGGGCCCATCCACATTCCCGCCTGTCACCCGAAAGAAGAAAGCTGCAACGGCATCGGTCAGGCGGATGGCTCAGGGACATTGCTACGCGGACCAGTGCCTCAAGCACGGCTTGCGCTTCCTCGGGGCCCAGCACGTCCACCGCGACGCGCGCGGCCCGTTCTGGATCCTCAAAGATGGCAACGAGTTTCTCCGCGAGGCTTTTTCGGGGTGAGTTCGCCTTCTCCGAAGCTGCGCCCGAGGCGACGAACGCGGCGACGAACGCGACGACCAACAACGCAAACTATGATGTGATATTTGGAACGACTCGCAACGAAGCATTCCACAAGCAGCTGAAGGCCTTTTATACAGAAACGTAATGTGGCAAACTCAACGACATGCTCTGTGCATTGCCACGGCCGCGAAGTTGGCAAAACTATTCATTGGCTTCTTATCGAAATGCCATGGTGACCAGTCGCATACTTTTGCAGAGCATGATATGCTGGCCCAGTTTTCCCAATTTCTTTTAGCAGAGGCACCTTTTCATTTCGTGCCCCGCATGAAACATGCAGTAACGGCGAACGAATCAGTAGACCAGGCCCTGCTGCCCTCCAACGCAAAGATTACTAGCAGGCGCCCAGCATCTGCGATGTAGGTATCACTGATCCTTCGCAACTTGAACGCGTATGTTCGCACTGGTTGTCGTTGTGTGTGAAAACAGTTTCTCTTCTCAACCAGATCGCATACGTCTGCTTTGTTGCACGGAAAAACTAAAGAAACCCCAGTCGTTAAATAGCACCATATTTTGAGTCCACCGAGGTGTACCCCACCCGACATTTTGAGCCTTCTTGGCCAAAAAGCGCCCCGGAGACCCCAAAAAGCCTCCAAGAGCCCCAGAACAAAATAAGCCAAGCGGGCCCCAAGGGACCGCCAGGAAGCTCCAAGAGGCTCCCAGGAGCCCTCTCCCCAGACGCCCTGAGGTACTCTGGCCGATTCCGAAGCTTCTGGACAACTCTCGGCATCCTGACGCCCCCAACGGGCCCAGGACCGTCAAACATTTAGGACGAAACTCCGGGCCTATGGAAGTTGTCTGGACCTCGGGGCCACTCCAGGGACCAGGCATTGACCAAATCACGATATCGGAACTCTTGGTCAGAATGACAAGCCGATCCCGTGGCAGGGGCCAGACTTCCAGGAGCCGACGCATAGCGAAAAAATCACGGCGCCGGAAGAGCGGGCACCTCCCTCTTGTCACCCCTCCTTTCAGACCCCCTCGCGTCATCAAAGGATCACGACGGGAAGTTTGCGGCAGTTTGCGCCCACCGGTTGCCCTCGGCCGGCCCCGGGACCATCAAAAAACGAGGATGCAAAACCAGCCCCGGGGAAGGCGTCCCGACCTCTGGGAGCCGACGTTGTTGCCGTCGTCGTCGTGGTCGAGGTCGTGGTCGTCGTCGTCGCCGTCGTCGTCGTCGCCGCCGTCGTCGTCGTCGTCGTGGCCGCCGTCGTCGTCGCCGTGCCCGCCGACGTCGCCGTCGCCATCGTCGTTGTTGTTGTCGCCGTCATCATCGTCGTCGTCGTCGCGGTCGTCGTCACCGTCGTCGTCGCCGTCGTCGATGTCGTCGTCGTCTCCGTCGCAGCCGTCGCCGTCGCCGTCGCCGTCGCTGACCAATCTATCGAGGATCGGGGTTCAAGGAAGTTTTTGATTGCTTTCAGCCTCCAGGGACCGTCCCTGGGCCCCAGGATCCCCAGAGTTTCGGGGGAACAAAGTGCACCCAACAGGCCCAGGAAGGGGTCCAGGGACGCATCCGGAGCAGATGTTTATGTGTGACCGCCGAAGTCGTCGTCGGCGTCGGCGTCGTCGGCGTCGGTGCGTCGGGACCCCTGGCGGGGACCGCGGCCACATCCTGCCCTGACTCGGCCAACGCGGGGGCGGGAGCAAGACAAGGACAAAGAGGAGGAGGATGGAGAGGAGGAGGTGGAGGAAGTGGAGGCGCCGAGGAGGAAGACGAGGAAGACGAGGAGGACGAGGAGGAGGAGGAGGAAAGGAGGAGGAGGACAGCTCCAGACCGCATTACTGTGTGGACGTCGTCGTCGTCGTCGTCGTGGTGGTGGCGGTCGTCGTCGTCGTGATGATCGTCGTCGTCGTCGCTGTGGTCGCCCTCGTCGTCATTCGTCGCCGCCCCTGTCGTCGTTGTCGATGATCACACGAGCGAAAACGAGAGTAGCAAAACGTGACACAGTCGTAACTAGAATCTAAGCGCGCGCGAAACGCGCGCGTGGTCCTATGTACGTATGTATGTACGAATGTATGTATATATGTATGTGAATATATACATATATATATATATGTATATATATATATGTAAATGTAAACACACATACACACATTTGTTTATATATATGTGTGTGTTCGCCATATGGCCAGAGAGGATTGGGTACGTCACCGGGCGATTTGTCCACGAGCGTGGGCGCTGAAGTCCTCACAGCTGGCTGCGTGAGGCCGACGAGTTGAGCCTGGAATTTTTTCAGGCTTATCAACGTCGCTTTAGGCAGGTTGCGGTTGCTGCACCGCCGCCACCGCGGGGTGGGGTGGGCAGGGCGAGAGGAAGAGGAGGATGAGGATGAGGAGGAGGAGGAGTCAATCCCTCGTTTCGTAACCAGACGCCCCGTACAGCGGACCCGTACCTAGCATGTTCTTTGATGGAGGTATCCCGTCGCGAACCGTTTTAGCGATTTCCTTCTGCTGTGACGCCATAGCCATCGAATCGCTCTTCCGAGGGTCGCGAGCCTCCAGTGCGCTCCACTTCTGAATCGTTGCGCCGCTGACATGCTGCAACTTTGTTTGCGTTGCCTTAGTCTTGGTTTTTTTCCCCCCGTTGACTCGACAAGACGCGGCAATTTTGTTGTTGCTGGTGGTGATTTCGTGGACTTGCCCGGATACCCACTTTGAGGGCCTGTGAATTGTTTTGTCCGGGGAATACAAACATATGTTCTGCATGGGTCGATGCGGTCCCATGGTCTTGCAGCTAAGGCCCAAGGGTATCAGCTCCAGCGCGCGCGAATGGCCGCTTTGACCTTGCTGCGCCGCTTTCTCCAAAGGGGACCTGCACTTCAGGAATCCCAGGGGCCCAACTGATCATAGAGGTTCAATCACGACAAGTTTTCTTAACATCTTGTGAATTATTAAATTCGGCCCCGGACCATCTCTGGATTCCCACCTCCCTTTCCCCTCATCCCTATCTCTCTCCCCCTCCCAGGACGGCTATTAGCCGTAGGGTAGGGCCCTATTGTCCGTAGCCTCGAGGCGCGGTGGTGGAGAGGCGGGCTGGATTAATCGTGGAGGTTTCATATATATATATATATGTATATATCTATGTATATACACAAGTCGGCTTACTTTTTCGCCATATGGTTAGAGAGGATTGGGTACCTCACCGGCTAATATGTCCACGGGCGTGGGCGCTCAAGTCCTCCCAGCTGGCTGCAGAGGCCGACGAGTTGTGCCTGGAACCGTTCGTTGCGGTTCCGCAACTGCGGCGGCCTCTCAGCATTCCTCTGGTGTTTGAGCAGGATTGAAAGATTTGCCTGGTCAGCCGATCCACCGCGGCTATGTTGACAAAGAAACATCATCCGACGTGATCGTGTCACGACGCGACGGGGTGGGGTTCCTCAACACGAGATTTTCCACAGGACCAGTCCTTTAACCTCAGTCGTCTTCTTTTGACGACCCCGTGGCCCGTGGAGGTCCAAAACGCGGAAAACCTAGAGGGCCTTTCGCCGCCAGGGCCCGCTTCCTTCATTCTTAAGGCTTGGTCGGGCCTGTATGCCCACGGGGTGAGCGCCCACTCAGGGCACAGCCGAAAGAAGTACGGCGAATCTGACTGAGCAGAGAACCGTGCGCCAGGGGGCGCACCGGCCGCTCGCGGCCAGCTGACATCCTCGGACGAACAAGGGTGGAACTACAAGACTGAAACCTTCACGTCGACCAAGCACCCAGCAAGGCCCCCCTTTCCCCTCGCCGCCCAGGTGGGGGTTCCTCAACAGCTGGGCGACAAGGGTCAAAGCTTGATACTTTTCCCTGACGGCCTGCGAGCGGCTGCGTGCTCGCCGCCTGCCTTACGAATTGCTCGTGAGTATTTCGCTCGTGAACAGGATAGTAGCCGTGTGTTCCAGGCCTCCCCAATGGGACCGGAGTAGATGAGGTCGGAGAATCTCGCCGCATCGCCGATGCATCGGCAATGCGTGTCGATGTGGAGCCCGATTTTCTCCGCGCCGACGGTGGCGCCGCATCGCCCATGCGTCGCCGATGCATCGGCGATGCATCGGCGATGCATGGGCGATGCGGCGCGAACCTCCGACCCTACCAGCTCGGACCCCATTCTGGAGGCCTCTCAGCACGAGGCATGACAATAGAGCCTGCTTTGACCAAGGGCTCCCTCGAGGGCGCGAAGTTATTCGCGCTTCGCGGTCCTCGTTCCTTCTCCCCTCTCCTCCTCGTCCTCCTATTCTCCCTTTGGGAGGGCGGCGCGAGAGCGCGAAGTTATTCGCGCTTCGCGCTTCGCGCAGCGCGAAGCGCGAAGCTGGGAGCCCTTGTTGACCTTGCCGTCCGTCGCCCAGGTGGGGTTCCTCAACCTCTGGTCTACGCGCGGGGGCCTCGTGCGCGGCGTGGAGCGCGCCGGCTGCGCCAGCCGCTGGTGCTGCCGCGGCACCCCGGGCGGGCCCGGGAGGCGGCGAGCGGCGGACTTCGGCGACGGGGTGGCGGACTTCTACAGGACGCGCGGGGGGGGGGGCGGGGGTCGGCGGCGACATCCGATCCCTACCAAGGGCTCCCTCGAGGGCGCGAAGTTATTCGCGCTTCGCGCTTCGCGGTCCTCGTTCCTTCTCCCCCTCCTCCTCGTCCTCCTATTCTCCCTTTGGGAGGGCGGCGCGAGAGCGCGAAGTTATTCGCGCTTCGCGCTTTGCGGAGCGCGAAGCGCGAAGCTGGGAGCCCTTGCCTACCCTCGCTGATCAACGATTCCGGCAACTCGACGAGTGGCGGGGTAGGGTTTGGGAGTCGTCGGACCCGTGGCGAAAGCCGCACCCCACCCCCGCCTCCCATCGATTCGGAGAAGGCTGAGTTCGGATGTCGCCACCTAGGGGGGCGGCGGCCACTGCTGTCGAAGAGGATAAATCACGGCATAGACATGAGCTTTGGGAGCTCCGCGCGGATTTCTCGGATCTGAGTTTGAACCCCCTGGCGGCTCCCCCGGCGCCGCCCCTGGCGCTCTCCGCGCGCCTGGGAGGGGGAGTTCGGCGCAGGTCCGAGAAATCCGCGCGGAGCTCCCAAAGTTTATGGTTATCCGTTAGGCCTTTGTCTCTTCTTCTCTGTTCTGCGAGCCGGGATCATAAGGATGAGTAGCGTTCCAAGGGCACCCTTTCTTCCTTTCATCGTCGGCACATCCTTAGCCACCATCGCGGGCAGTTTTCGCTCAAAACCGTCTCAGGTCCTTGCATCCTTACCGCGCATCCCCATAACTCAGGCGATCGCAAACATGGATCAAGGGGGCGTAGATTAGCGGCGGGTCCCATTTCCATGGGAAATCGCGGACTTCCGCCGCCGAACGACGCGGCACCAGCCACATGTTGGGGAGGGCACCTCCCCCGATCCATGGATTTGGCGATGGCGCACCAAATCCATGGATCGCTAATCCATGTCTGCGCTCCCCGAAGAGCCGATGTCACGTTGTAGGCAGACTATTCCCTTATCTCCTTGCTGATCTCTGCGCTCCCTGGAGGGTCGAGGCCCACCTCTGCAGCTGAAGCTCGATGAGGAGCTTCAAAGCAGCGCTGCTATCGGTCGCATGCCAACTGTCCCTGGTCCATCGGGATGTCTTTAGGTTTGTGTATGGTTGCATGCCGTGCTTGAGGCCGGTGGATGTTGTTTTGCCTTCGCATCTGTCTCACCGTTTCCATCATCAGTTTTTGCAGCATCACCATCATCACCATCATCATGATCATCATCATCATCATCAGCAGCAGCATCAGCATCATCAGCATCAGATCATCATCATCATCATCATCATCATCATCATCATCATCATCATCATCTCCATCATCCTCATCATCATCTCCATCATCCTCATCGTCTTCATCATCATCAGCATCAGCATCATCAGCATCATCAGCATCATCATCATCGCCATCGCCATCGCCATCGCCATCCTCATCGACATCATAACCAGCATCGTCGTCAAAATTTGCATCGTCATCATCACCATCAGCAGCAGCATCATCATCATCATCATCATGTTCTTTTTATCATTTGCTGGCGCGGGCCCAACACAGTCAATTATTGCACCTTCGTCGAGTAAGCAAAACGGTGCAAGTTGCGTGCAAGTCGTGCGTGCTGCAAGCAATGTGATGCAAGCCACATGTTATACGAGCCCTGTGGTGTCAGCAACATGGTGCAGGCAACGGGGCGCAAGCAAACTGTCTGCTGTGCAATACATGCGGTGTCAGCCGTGTGGGGAAAGCCGCGTGGTGTAAGCTACACGCGTGGCGTAAGCGTGCGAAGCCGCGTGTTGCGAGCTGTGTGCGGCGAGCAGCACGCGAGGCGCCTACGGCCGCCCACCGGGCGAAACCTCGGCAGACACACCCCATCACCTGCGGAATAGGACCGAGACCCTCCTCCTCCTCCTCCTCCTCCTCCTCTTCTTCCTCCTCCTCCTCCTCCTCCTCCTCCTCCTCCTCCCCGGAGCACTGCTCGGGGAGAGGCTCGCCCTGCCTGCCCTCCCGGCCTGGCCGGCAGGGCTGCACTGCACAGGGGCGTAGGAGAGCGGCGAAAGTTGCGCCCCGGAAGCGCCCAGGGATGGCAGCACACCGCCGCCGCGACTGGCGGCCAGGGATGGCAGCGCCCAGGCATGGCAGGAGGAGGAGGGGGAGGAGGGGGAGGAAGAGGAGGAGGAGGGGGAGGAGGGAAAGGAGGGGGAGGAGGGAGATGACGACGACGACGACGACGACGACGACGACGACGACGACGACGACGATGACGACGACGACGACGACGACGACGACGACGACGCGACTGGCCGGCCTCCGCGGTGGGGCCGCCGGCTCTCTCCTCTCTCCTGGCCGTGAGTGCAGGCCGCCGCGGGCGGCGGTTGGCCACGCGCAGGAGCGTCCCTCCGCTGCAGGGGTCCCTCTGGTGCGCGGCCGGGCGGTGCCAGGCAAAACGCAAACGATTTAAAAAATGCCCCCCCCCCCCCTGGATCCCCCATAATGATTGAGTGGGGCTGACTAATAGAATTCAGCCGCCGGAAACTGTTGTTTAAATCGTCCGCCCCCCAGCGTTTGCTGTTGCCCCTTTGGGGGAACTGATTTTCTATTCGTCCTCTTTCGCTCGCTTGATCACCCGCGGCCGCGGGGGAGGATTGCGGAGGGGGGACGGGGTAATTAGGGAGTAGTTGAAGGAAGGGGTTTTCGAAGAGGCGCTTGATCACCCTCGTCCTTGCGGACGGCCGCCGGTCGTCCTTGCGGACGGCCGCGGCGATTGGGAGGTGGGGGCAAGGGCAGAAGGAGGAGGAGGGGGAGGAGGAGGAGGAGGAGGAAGAGGAGGAGGGGGAGGAGGAGGAAGAGAAGAAGGAGGAGGAGAAGGAGGAGGAGGAGGACGAGGAGGAGGAGGAGGAGAACGAAGAGGAGGAGGAGGAGAGGAGGAAGAGGAGGAGAAAGAGAAAGAGGAGGATAGGATAACGGCCAGCACGAACCAGCAGGACCGAAGCCGCGGGGCCTCAAGGATTGTTTTGCTCGGGCCTGTGCAGGACCCCTCCTCCTCCTCCTCCTCCTCCTCCTCCTCCTCCTCCTCCTCCTGCCCTTCCAGGCAACCCGGAATTGTCAGCCCTCCGTCTGCCTGCCCTGCCCCCCCGCTATTGCGGGGGCGAGGAGGCCCGCGAAACATGTTTTTTAATCGTCCGCCCCAGAAAATTGTTTTTTATCGTTTCGCCCCATTATAGGGAAAGGGGGGGTGCGAAATCTGCTGCATGCAGCCGGTTTCGGCCCTGCCGCCTGTCCCGTTCCTCGATACATGTGCGCCTCCCGGCGCCGGGAGGCGCTGCTGGGAAGATCAGCTATGTGAGCTGATTCTCTACCCTACCCTCTGCTGTGCCCCCCTTTTCGTTCCCCCCGATCGGCGAGCCGCGCACCAAGAAGGCCCCTCCCTGCCCATGGCCGCGCCCTGCGTGCAGGCCGAGGGGGGGGGGGGGAGGCAGAGGGGGGATTGGGCCGGACGAAAGGGGGGGATTGGGAAAGGGGGGGCTACGAAATTTGCTGCATGCGGCTGTTTTCGGCCTCGCCGAGGGGGCCATTCCTCGATACATGGGCGCCTCTGGCGCCAGGAGGCGCCGGGAAAGTCAGCTACGCGAACTGGTTCTCAAACCCCCCTTTTGTTATCCCCCCCTTTCGCCCGACCCGAGGGGAGGAAGCAGGCCGCCGAGGCCAGGAGGGCACACGCACCGATCCTCTGAGCCCAGGGCGGGGGCCGATCAGGCCGGGAGTCCAGGCGTGCAGGGCGGAGGTCCCCCGAGCAGCCTCCAGGGAACTCCCAAACCAGGTGGTGAGATACAGTCGGGGCCCTGAAGAAGGAACCCTTTTCGTTGGGGAGGGGTTCGGTGTTCCTTGATTGTTCGACAGTTTGCTTTCTGTTTTCCTGAGGTTTCCCATGGGGAATCGAAGTTCAACTTATGGGTGAAAGGGGCCCCGTTCCTTTATTAGGGTTCCTTAGGTCAACGCCCCGACTGTAGCAGGTGGTGGCCTGGAATCCCCCGAAGTCACCGCCGGGTCTTGGAGCACGGGGTCGCCGCTGGGTCTTGTGACTCCTGGGCCCACACGCTCGCGGGACATTCTCGACAAAACCTACACGAGTCCCCAAACCAGGTGGTGACACCAGATCGCCCGAGACTCACCGCCGGGTGTTGTCACCACCACGTTTGGGGACCAATACAAAAATCCGGATAAAGTGACAATGATGCCCCTTTGCGACAGAAGGGACAATGTTTCGGAGATGCGGAGGCCCTCTGTGACAGAAGGGGGACCCTTCCCGTTCCTCCCCACCCTCCTTCTACGCTTCCTCCTTCTCCAAAGCCTCCCCGCAGGAGGCCCCCCCAGGACCTCAGGCGAGGGGGGTCTCGATTTTGACCCAAGCCGATCTCCATCGCCCGGGGGCGGCCTGGGGCGAACGAGGCTTTACTCGTCGCCGCGGCGCGTGCCTCGCCACTGCGGAGACCAGGCCTGCAACACCCCGCAGTATCCAAAGCCCCCCCCACCCGCCCCCCTTCGGCGGCACGACGGGAGGGTTATGTCGGGCGTGTCCCCCTACAGGGGGATTTTCGTCGAAACATAGAAATACCCCAAAAATATCCCAAGAAGGTCAAACCAGATTCAAAACATAGTCCCCAGACTATGTTTATGATGTTTTGATTAGGTCTGGGGCTTTTTTTATATGAATACAGAATCGTCGAACATCCTCCTGTAGGGGGACGGGCCCGACTTCACGGGAGGGGGGTCGGGGCAAGGGCTCCCTCGAGGGCGCGAAGTTATTCGCGCTTCGCGCTTCGCGGTCCTCGTTCCTTCTCCCCCTCCTCCTCGTCCTCCTATTCTCCTTCTGGGAGGGCGGCGCGAGGGCGCGAAGTTATTCGCGCTTCGCGCTTCGCGCAGCGCGAAGCGCGAAGTTGGGAGCCCTAGCAGAATCACCACCCCACCAAACCACCCCATCCCAACTTCAGGAGGGGAAAAAACACACAGGCACCATTAAGCGTCGACCCCCAGGAACATATGGAAAAATATGGGAAGTGGGGGGGGGGAAGACAACAACCCAGAAACTATACGAAAAGATTTGAAACATTGTTATTTGTGTGTATTAATGTGTGTGTCCCAGGGCCCCTTCACAACTCGAAGGCTTCCATCTGCCCTCCATTTTCACTGTGGGGGGGGGTCGGGGAAGATAGGGGAAGACAGAAAACAGATGAAGCCCGTACCCCCCCCCCCGCCCGAAATTCGGGTTTGCGGGTTGGGCTGGGGTGGTCTGGTAGGTGGTCACAGAAGGTATGCGCATCAGCTGTCGGAGGTCCGCGCGGATCTCCTGGACCTGGCGGCGACGCCGGCCCAAGAAGTCTGCGCGGACCTCTGAGAGCGTATGCTTTTGCAGCCGTTCCTGAGTCAAGGGGGGAAACACCACCCGTGACCGACAAGTGGCGGTACTAAACGGCCGTGGGCGTTTACTAAGCAGCCCTGCCCTGCTTGATTCCTTCTCTGGGTGCGTTTACTAAACGGCCTTGCGCGTCGGGGTAGTTACTATCGGGGATGATTTTTCCGCCCTCTACTGAGTGGCCCTCGCCTTGCCTCCCCCTCTCTACGGCCGCCTGCTCTGTCTCCGCTTCCCGCCCTTACATATTGGCCACTTCGCTGCAACGGTGCCCCCGTTTAGTGAGCTCCCTCCGCCAACGCAGGCGACCCCTGCCTAGTCGCCGACGCAACAAAGTTGTTGCAGCCGTTGCTCCTCTATCGAAGGCCGCCTGCCGTCGCCGTCGCCCCTTTTCTCGGATCGGGCGAACTGGGACGGTTCGGGAATAGGGTTCGGCACGAAGATTGCTGCGCGCAGCTGGCTTCGGTTCCGCGGCCAGACGCATTCCACGATGTATGGCCGCCCCCTGCGCCTGGAAAGCCGGCTGCGCGTAGCCAGGTTTCTGATCGCCGTCAGAAGTTGATGCCCAGCGTCGGCAAAATATCACCACGACGGCACCAGCGACGCGGGTAGGTAGGAGGAAGAGGAGGTGAAGGAGGATAACATGGGAGAAAGAGGGAGGATGAGCATGAGGTTGACGAGAGGAGTAAGCCCAGCTTGCAGACGGCCTGCAGTTGCGAACTCTCGTGAGGGTAGCAAGAAAACACCCTGGGAAGGGACGAGGAGGAGGACGATGACGGCGGTGGCAAATTGGTCAGTCGTCCTGCCGCCCCGCTTCTTAATCGCTCCTCTTTTTTTTTTTTTTCTCTCTCTCTCTCTCTCTATCTCTCTCTCTCTCTCCCCTTCTTGGCCCTCCTCTTCCTTCTACTCCTCATACTCTCCCTCGCCATGCTCCCCTCTCTCTTCGTCGTCGACACTTTCTTCATCCTACTCCTACGTCTACTGCCCCTCACCCGCTCCTTCACCTGCCCCTCCGTTCCCTTGCCGACCCCCCTATACCAGTCCTCCCCTCAGCTTCTCTCTCTCTGTTCCGCCTCTCCTCTCCTCCCCTTGTCTCCTCTCCTCCCCTACGCTCCTCTCTCTCTTTCTCTTCCTCCTCTCCTCCCCTCCCCATCCTCCTTCCCCCCCCCCGCTCCCCCTCATCTTCCCTTCCACCTCCAACCCGCGAGCCCGCGTGCGCGCAAGAGCGCGCGCGGGCGGGGGGGTGCGCGGAAGGGGGTAAGAGAGGAAACGGGGGCGGCGCGGAGGGGGGACAAGTGGACATAAGGCAGGAGAGGAGTGGCGGGGAGGGGGGGGGGTGCGCGGGGGGGGGCGGGCGAGAGAGAGAGAGAGAACTGGACAAGCCAAAGGGCAGCAGGGGCCGATGCATGGTGGTGACGATGACAATGCTGACGCCTGCAACATGGCGACGACGGCATCGTCTTCGTCGTCCTCCTCCTCCTCCTCCTCCCCCTCCTCCTCCTCCTCCTCCTCCTTCTCGTGGTTCTCCTCCTCGTTCTCCTCCTCGTTCTCCTCCTCCTCCTCGTCCTCGTCCTCCTCGTCCTCGTCCTCCGCCTCGTCCTCGTCCTCCTCGTCCTCGTCCTCCTCCTCCTCCGAGGAAGAGGAGGCGGCCTGAGCGGGGCACCCCGCGAGCGGCGCGGCCGAAGGGAGCGCGGCCTGCGCACCTGGGCGAAGACGGGCACCCGCCTGCAGACCGACCGGGCCTCGCGCGGCACCTTCCGCTTCGACGCCCCCGGAGGCGTGGCCACCCGGTCGTTTCGGGCGCTCGGCAACCCAGACCTCCAACGCGTTGAAAAAGTCAAGACGGAGACTTTTCTCGATGTTCGGCCTCTAGCGGCCCTCGCCGGGCCCTGGGACCCTCAAAAAACGACTCAGGATGAAGAACCGGTCCTGGGGAAGAGGTCGAGACGTCTGAGGAGTATTGAAAAATCATGACGTCGGATCTTTGGGAATGGGGGGGCGATACTCGGGAGGTTTACTAAGGGGAGGCTTGTCCACCGCCGATCGCAGTCCTGGGAGTGGATCTCGCCCCTTTCAGTGTGGCAGCCGGCCTTGTTCGAGCAGGGACCGGCCGTTCTGGCAGTCTTATAGGCCTACCACGAGATGTCCTCAGAACCCACACGTTCTAGTAACGAAAACAATATTCTTAGGACATAAATCGGGAGTCCCCAAACGGGGTGGTGACCACACCGTGCGGTGAGTCGGTGGGGATTCGGGGTCACCGCACGGTTTTGGGACTCGAGGCACTCCCTCTCCGGGGACGTCTCGGGCGACAGGGGCTTCCCGGGTCCCAAGACCGTGCGGTGACGGACCGTGCGGTGAGGTCTTGGGGGAATTCGAAATCACCGCACGGTCTGTCACCGCACCGTTTCGGGACTCCAAAGATAAATGGGGGGGCGTCGAGGGTTGCACGAAAGGGGTCCTAAAGGGGCCATGGGCGAGCCCCCTAGGCCCTAGGGCCCCGAAGGGGTACGAAAGGTGCAGGAAAGGTGCACCTTTCTTACCCCCCCATCTATCGCCCCCCCATTAGTGAACGCCCGACTTTGGTCGTCGTCCGCCGCTCGTTGGGGCCGTCTGCGTCGTCGTTGTCCGTCGGCTGGTCGGCAGGTCGGTCGGTCGGCCGGTCGGTCGGTCGACTGGTCGGTCGGTCGATCGGTCGTTCGGTCCGTCGTCGTCGTCGTCGTCGTCGTCGCCGTCGTCTTCGCCGTCGCCGTCGCCGTCGTCGTCGTCGTCGTCATCTCGGGTCCGGGCGGGCGGCTTTGGGGCGCTCCCTCTGGCTCAGAGAGCGCGCGTGATCCCCAAAACCACCCGCCTCCCCAGAGTAGCTTTCGTTCGGGCATGTCCCCCTACAGGCGGACTTAGGGCGAACAATTCAAAGTAGCCCAACAGTACCCCAAAAGAAATGTTCAAACATAGTCGAAACATCGTCTCCATACGATATGTTGACTATGTTTGAACATTCCTCCTGTAGAGGGACACGCCCGACTCAAGAGTAGCTGCTGGCGTTGCCGTCACAGCTGCTCTCGCCCCCGTGGAACCTGCCCTTGCCGTGGCAGTCGTGGCCGGCCTAGTGGCTGCCCGTGCTCTCGCAGCCGCTTTTGACTGAATGGTCCAGGTAGCTGGCATTGTCCCCGTAGCCCGTGTACTCGCACTGGAGGTTTATAAACCTCCTACCCTGATACGTCGATTAGCAAAGTGTTCGGTTAGCGAGAGGGCGTCGCGGCCGTCATTTTTGCAGGTCCAGGTCCGTCGGTTTCGGTCCCAGGCCGTTTTCACGAAATGGAGGTTTACTAAGCGGAGGCCTGTCCACCGCCGATCGCAGTCCCGGGAGTGGGTCTTGCCCCTCGCAGCGCGGTAGCCGGCCTTGGTCGAGCAGGGACCGGCCGTCTTGGCATTCTTATAGGCCTACCACGAGATGTTCTCAGAACCCACATGTTCTAATAACAAAAACAATATTCTTAGTACATAAGCCCGATGCGTTAAAACAAGACAGTCTCAGCCAGAAATATTCGAATAACATTTCCTGCAGGCCACAAAAGATTCTTAGAACATTCGTTGGTGGGCCTGTAGCCAGGACGCTTCGCCACTGCTTGACTTGTCCTCGTAGCCCTTGGCGCGCCCGCTGTTTGCCGGCCTCGCCAACGTGTGGCCCTTGTGCACCCCGTCCAGCTTGAGCTCCGCGCAGTAGCTAGTCTCCGTATCAGTGGGTAGTTCTTGTCGCACCTCACGTCGAGGCGGGTGCCGTTGCAGGAGCCCCCGTAGCTTTATCCCCGTAGAGGTAGGCTCGTAGAGTGGTGGTCGCCTTGACCGGCGGGATACTTGCCAAGGTCGCCGCGGCCGTCGTGGTGTCTCAGCCTGCTCCGAGGGGTGGTGTTGGCCTCGTCCAGTTCGCATCAGGTTGCCAGCCTCGTCCTGGTAGCTGGCCTCGGTGGCAGCCAGGCTTTCCCCGTTAGCTGGCCTTGTGCTCGTAATCAGACGTTGTGTGGAGTCGGCATTGCCTTGGTAGCTGTCCTCTGCCTGCAACCGGGTCTTATCTTGGTATTTGGTAGCCTTTCGCTTCCTGGTAGCCAGCCTCTCCTGGGTAGCCGGCCTCGTCCTTGTAGGCCTCGTGGTAGCCGGCCGGGTCTTGGAAGGGGCGCGTGCCCAACATCTCACGCTAGACATCGTCCTGGCCCGACGCGCGTTCGCGCATGGCCATTCCGCCCTGGAAGCCCTGGTAGTCCATCGGCGCGAACGAGGGGGCGTATCGAATCAAGGTGCGTGCGCGATTTCTGTCATGAGGATCCTTGTGCTCAAGGCTTCGGGACTTGTTGAAAGATGTCGCGTCTCGCCCCCAGGGCATGCTGAACCTGCGCATGCAGAAGCAAGAAAGGGCAGATGCGGACAAATCTTGCCCCACCCACTTCTCGGTCCAGCCGTCTCCGTTGGCACCAGCTCGCACCTCCAGCCCAGGTCCCTCCGCGAGTGCTCGGATCCATCTGGCGTCGCTGCCAGTGGTGCTCACTCCTTCGGTGTCTTGCGTGCGTGGCGGCGCTCCTCCCAGTGGTGTCCTCGAGGCTGGACGCCGAGCCTTGAAGTGTCAGCTTGCGATTCACAAACGGCCCCCCCTTCCCGGGGCCGACGAGTAGATCCCGCGGGACGCGAGACGGTTTTTTTCAACCACGCGCGCCAGAGGCTCGTCGCGGGCGCCGCCGAGGGGAGCGTGTACTACCCCCCTGCACAGCAGTGTCAAAGCGATCGCCTTTCGCATAGAAGCTGTTATAGCGATCGTATACATCCGAGGCGAAGTTTCCCCCCCCCCCCTTCACAGGCGGACTACAGACGCTTCACAGTCGTCGTCGTCAGCGTCGTCGTCGTCGTCGTTGTGGTCCGAGGTCCCAGTCGTCGATTGCGGCGCGCCTACTTAGCACGCCCCCCCTTCGCCCACCATGGAGCATCCGCAGTGCGTCGTCGTCGTCGCGTTGTCATCGTCGTCGTGCTTCCGTCGTCGTCGTCGCCGTCGTCGTCGTCGTGGTCAGGGATCCCAGTCGTCGACTGCGGCGCGTCTACGCAGTACCCCGCAGTGCGTCGTCGTCGTCGCTTTATCATCGTCGTCGTGCCGCCGTCGTCGTCGTCGTCGGCGTCGTCGTCCTCGTCCTCGTCCTCGTCGTCGTCGTCGCCGCTGCCGCCATGATCGGCGTCATCGTCGTCATCGTTGTCGTCGTCGTAGACGACTACAGCGGGCCTACGCAGCACCCCCCGCCCTCAATGGGGCATCCGCAGCAGCGCGTCGTCGTCGTCGTCGTCGCGTCGTCGTTGTCGTTGTCGACGTCATCGTCGTTTCGGACGTCGTCGTCGTCCTCGTCGTCGTGCCGCCGTCGTCGTCGGCGGACTCGTCGGCCCCTCGTCGTCGTCCTCGTCCTCGTCCTCGTCCTCGTCTTCGCTGCCGCCGCCGCCGCCGTCGTCGTCGTCGTCGTCGTCATCATCGTCGTCGCCGTCGACGACTACAGCGGGCCTACGCAACACCCCCTCTCAATGGGGCATCCGCAGCAGCGCGTCGTCGTCGTCATCGTCGTCGTCGTGTCGGCGTCGTCGTCGTCGTCGCGACGTCGCCGTCATCGTCGTCGTCTCCGCCGTCGCCGTCGTCGTCCTCGTCGTCGTATTCGTCGTCGTGCCGTCGTCGTTGTCGTCGTCGTCATTGTCGTCGTGCTTCCGTCGTCGTTATCCTCGTCGTCGTCCTCGTCCTGGTTCGCGCCGTCGTCCTCGTCCTCGTCGTCGCCGCCGCCTCCGCCGTCGACGAGCACAGCGGGCATGCGCAGCCCCGTCGCCCGTCGTCCACCGTCGCCGTGGCCGTCGCCGTCGTCGTCGCCGTCGTCGTCGCTGTCGTCGTCGTCGTCGTATTCGTCGTCGGGTCGCCGTCGTCGTCGTCGTCCTCGTCCTCGTCCTCGTCCTCGTCGTCGACGAGCACAGCGGGCATGCGCAGCCCCCCTCCCCCCCTGGAGCATCCGCAGTGCGTCGTCGTCCGCCGTCGCCGTCGTCGTCGTCCTGTGCAGGATCTTGTAGTGGAGGGGGGGGGAGAAGGAGAACGAGGAGCCCTTTCCGCCTGCCTTTGTCGTTTTCTTGTTTGTAGCCAATGGCCCATGTCGGCACCGCCCCCCCGCTGAGGCGCCTTTTTCCCCCGCCTTATCTTTCTCTCCTGTCGGTGGCCATTTTAGCCCAACCGCCCTCTAGCAGAAGCCCTGCTGTCCCCCTCCGCCGAAGCGGGGCCGCTAGCGTCGCGCCTTTCGCCTTCTTGCTGTCGGCCGGGCGTCGGCGCTAATCACAGGTGCCGCCGCTGTGCGTTTCAACCTGGCGGGCGCCCTCCCCGCGATTCGCCCGTGCAGGGGGACCATGTTTTGATCACGCCTCCCGCTTTCGTTTTTGTGAAGCACAAGCTGGCAGCATCTTCGCTTGCGGGGCCGGGCGCACGGTGAGGACGGCGACGGCCCTATCGGCCAGGTCGGATTGGGCGGACGGCAAGGGGAGGGCAGCAAAAGTAGAGGGATCGAAGATCGTGGGGGAGTGGCCCCAAGGTGGCCCCCAGAGGCCCGTGAGCTGCCACCGCGGGCCCCAAAGGTGCACGGAACGCGCGCGCTTCTTCCCCCCATGTGCATCGCCCCCTTCCCCTCCTGTAGCGAGCACCTGTTCAGCATCTTAGCTGCCATGATACGCACATGCCGGATTGAGACGTACCGGATTGATGCGTTACGTATTGGTCCAATACGTAGGCCGTCTTGGGGCTCCGTATTGAGCTGCGTATTGGGATCCTCCTCCTCCTCCGATCCTTTGCTCTTGCAGCCGCTCTTCTTCCTCCTCCTCCTCCTCCTCCTCCTCCTCCAACTCCAACTCTTGCCCTTCCGCGTGGGCGGCGTCGTCGTCCGTCGTCTGTGGAGCGCCCCAGGGACCTCAGTGGAGAACAAGGAGACCCGGTGGAGGCAATGAGGCCAGTGGAGAACATTGGAGATTCGGCGTTTTTACGCCTCCTCTGAGGTGGACCTGGGGCCCAGGGGAGGTGTTATACGGCCCTGGGAGCTGTTATGCGAACCTTTTGGGATGGGCCCAAGGCCGGTGCGCTTGTTGGAGTCATCTGGGGCCGTCTTGCGATGCGCCCGAGGCCTACGATAGGTCAATTCGGGCCGTCTTGGAGCACCCCCTCTTCCCAACTGGCCTCCTCCCACCTCCCATCTGGGGGGAGGAGGGGGGAGGCCTTCGCGTGGTGGGGGAGCGGTGATCCTGCTGGAGTCATCTGGGGCCGTCTTGGGATGCGCCCAAGGCCTGCGAAAGGTCAATTCGGGCCGTCTTGGAGCACGCCCTCGTCCCAACTGACCTCCTCACACCTCCCATCTCGGGGGAAGGGGGGGGGGTCTCCGCGGGGAGGGGGAGCGGTGAGCCTGTTGGAATCATATGGGGCCGCCTTGGGATGCGATCTAGGGCCTTGGGCCTGGGTAGATTCGGCGTTCCGTCTCCCGCACTCCGCTCGCCGTTCGCAGTGGGGCGGTCTTGGTGAATTTTACCCGACAGTAGCGAATCCTACCAGACAGTAGCGAACCCTACCAGACAGGAGCGAACCCTACCAGACAGGAGCGAACCCTACCAGACAACACCAGACAAAAACGATTCCTACCAGACAAGGGCGTGGTGTCCACGCGCCCACGCGTGGGGGGCTTCATTGATCTGGGGGCGGCAGGTGGCATTCGAGGTGAATGCGGCATGACATGCTCGCCCTCCTCAACCTGCTGCTTCTCTTGCTCCTCCTCCTCCTCCTCCTCCTCCTCCTCCTCCTCCTCCTCCTCCCTGCAGACAGTCAAATGGGGCCCATCCATAAGGTGAAAGGCCACATGTCGGACGAGCAGGTGGGTAATGATGCCTATCTGAAGTTCTGTAAGACTGGGAACGACCTTGCCGACCATTATGCTAAGCTTGGGGCCCTAGCTCACGAGAAGCCGTGTCCTGAGCAGCAAGAATGGCTTGAGAAATGCTTGTCGGTCGTACGCAAGGTTTTTGTTTTGGCTGCCCGTGTGCTGCCTCTCTGGCCTCCGCTCGACTTGTCGGTAGCCACCCGTGCGCCCGTCGAGCCGAAACCAGTGCCAGTCAAAGCGCCCCATCTTTGGAAGAAGGTGGGAATCTTCTGGCAGTGTAACCACTGCCTCACGGTGTGCCGTGGGGTTTTCCCGCGGAATAATTCGAGTTGCAGCAAGAAGCATAAGCTCCAGTGTGACGTCCTGCAGCAGCTGGAGCACAATTGTCTTGGTTTAGCGTGTTCGGACGGCGGCATTGTCTGTGTATGTGTCCGACGTAAGGCGTTTTCCACTGGCCGTGCCCAGGTAGGCCACATAATATTATGTGTTCTAAGTATTACTGGGACAGAATTTCGACTGGCAAGCACCCCAAGCTTTCGGACGTCTGGCTTGATGCGGATGCTAACAGTGTTGTTCGTCTCTTTAATATCTCCTAGGCCTGTATCTGGCCCAGCCTCTCGGTCTCGTGTCGCGGGGGCGTGGCCCTGATATAAGGTTTCATGGCATGTATGACTTGTCTGTACCATTTAAGTGCCGTGCTCGACGGCCGCCTGGCTCCCAGTGCCAGGCCGATTGCGGGACGCCGTGGAGAGCAGCGTAGCGGTAAAACAAAAAATCCACCTCCCACTTCCCCCTCCCACTTCACCCTCCCTGCACCCCTTCCTCCACCCCCCCGCCCCTCCCAGTCCTCCTCCTTCTGGCCGCGTATTGGGGCGAGGGCGGGCGGCGAGGAAGGACGAGGTGGATGAGGGCGGGGGAGGGGGTGCATGGGGTGGGGGGAGCGCGAGGGGGGGCAACCAGGGAGACAAGGAGGCCGAGGAGGAGGAGGAGGAGGATGAGGAGGAGGCGGAGGAAGATGGGGGGGAGGAGGGGGAGAAAGAGGAGGAGGAGGAGGAGGAAGAGGAGGAGGAGGAGGAGGAGGCGGAGGAAGATGGGGGGGAGGAGGGGAAGAAAGAGAAAAAAAAAAAAAGAGGAGGAGGAGGAGGAGGAGTAGGAGGAAAAGGAGGAGGAGGAGGAGGAGGAGGACGAGGCGGGCGAGGAGGAGGAGGGCGTAGGAGGAAAAGTGCTGTTACGCTTCCTCTGGGGTGGACCTGTGGCCCAGGGGAGGTGTTATACGGCCCCCTGCCGTGTTATACGGGCCCCTGGGAGATGTTATACGAACCGCTTGGGGTGGGCCCAAGGCCGGTGCGCCTGTTGGAGTCATGTGGGGCCGTCTTGCGATGCGCCCAAGGCCTGCGATAGGTCAATTCGGGCCGTCTTGGAGCACGCTCTCTTCCCAACTGACCTCCTCCCATCTGGGGGGAGGGGGGGGAGGCCTTCGCGTGGTGGATTTGCGGTGAGGCTGGGAGGTGTTATAGCGGCACTGGATCCGAACCAATCAGGTAATGCACGGGCCCCAGGGGAGGCACTGTCGCAGCCCCGGGAGGTTTTTTAAACGCCCCGGGAGGCATGTGCGGCCAAGGGGGGGTGTTTTATTAGCGGCCGCGGGGAGGCGTTATAGAGGCGCCGGGGGAATGTCATAGCGGCCCCTCTTTGTTTTTAGGGGCCCGTTGGAGATGCCATGCGGCCCTGGGTGGGGGTCATAACGGCTCCGCGGGGTCGGCGACGGCGGCGGCGGCAACGACGAGGGTATACGTATCGGGCTCCGTATTGGGCTACGTCTTGAGCTTTTTGGGCTGCGTATCGCAGGCCGCTCCACGTATTGCGTATCGAGCGTGGATGTTGTACGTGTTGGCCTACGTATTGGCGAATGTATGCAGCCAGATTTACGTATTGGATCTACGTGTTGAGCACCGTAGGAGTACGCTCCGGATTGCGTATTGCGTACCGGGGCAGCTAAGATCAACATCGTATGTGCATACCTCGTCCCTTGCGTGCCCAATCGTATCACGCATGGCCTGGAGCTCATCAGGCCCTCCTGCTCGCGAGCGGGCCGTTCGATCTGCCGAGACGATGGCCCAGTCCCGGGTTCCTTCTCGCCCTGCCGCGTTTTCGGCCGCACAGTGAAAACGCCAAAATAAAAACCGGTTTTGGCTCAGCTGTTTGTTGTTCTTGGGTTAAGTCGGGCATTTTCCCCTTACAGCAGGAAAATTCAAGAGTCGAGAAATCATCTTGGGACGACTTTCTGTTATTGTTCATCAATTTTGAATATTCTCTGGCTATTTCCCACTGTTCGTCCAAAGCCCGCCTGTAGGAGGACATGCCCCACTCAATTGCTGGGCCGTGCCTCAGATCCAGGTTCGGACACCCGCTCCTGGCCGAGGCTGGCCGTGGCCCGGAAAGTCCCTTCGTTCCTTACTCCGCGTCCCTTATGGTAGTAGCACGATGGATGTAGCGCGCCTGCAGCGGCGGCGTTCCCCTCGAGACGGACGCCGCTGCTGCCGCCGCTGATCGTCGCCGCCGCCGCCGCTGCTCGCGGCCGTCGTCTTCGCCTCTGCCTCTGCATGTGCCTCTTCGTCCTTGTCCCCGAGCATCCGCAGTGCTTCGTCGTCCGCCGTCGCCGTCGCCGTCGCCGTCGCCGTCGTCGTCGTCGTCGTCGTCGTCGCTTCGTCGTCGTCGTCGTCGTCGTCGTCGTCGTCGTCGTCGTCGCCGTCGTCGCCGTCGCCGTCGCCGTCGCCCCCTCGTGCCGCCCACAGCACGGTGCGCAGAAGGCGGAAAGGGAACGGAGCTAGAGCCAAACCTGGCACGGAGCTGCCTCCTCCTCCTCCTCCTCCTCCTCCTCCTCCTCCTCCTCCTCCTCCTCCTCCCCTTTCTCCCCACCCGTGCCTGGCAGTGATCCCCTCCCCCCGGTGGTCGAAGGCAAGGGCGTCTTCCTCCAGTTCGATGGCGAGGGCCGCTTCGCGTTCCACCCGGGCGGCAAGGCCGGAGCCCTCCCCCTCCGCCTCTTCGGGCGCCCAGGCGATCTGAGTTCGAGGGGCGGGGAGGGGCGCAGGAAGGAGGGGGGAAGAGGATCACGGGGTTGGGAGGATGAAGATGTGGAGAAGATGAGGAGGACGAGCAGGAGGAGGAGGTGGACGATACGGGGGCCATTCGGGGATGAGCATGACGATCGCACGCAAGAGCTGACCAGGCCTGGTGTGCATGTATGTGTATATATATATATGCAGTAGGCGCAGCCGACCGCTTGCACGCGCTTGCGATGTGAGGCGCGGTCTCTGTCCTGTTTCTTTGTACGGGCTCGCTGAAGCACACCGCACAGCAGTAGGCGCAGCCGACCGCTTGCACGCGCTTGCGATGTGAGGCGCGGTCTCTGTCCTGTTTCTTTGTACGGGCTCGCTGAAGCACACCGCACAGCGCGGGACTTCTGGAATGGAGGAGGCCGAGGCGAGGGAGGAAATGGAGCGTGGAACGCAGCACTGCGCATTGTCCAGTGCTCCCGCTGATGATGGCATCGGTGATCGGGTGAGACTTTGGCTGTGCTTCTGGCACAGCTCAGCACAGTCCTTTCCCTTCGGTACCCGGGGCTGCTTCTGGTGGCACTGCCTGGTTTTGTTGTTGCTGCGTGTTCTGGGTCCGAGGGCCGGTGGCTTCTGCTGGCCTTGCCCGTCATCGCGTCAAGAGACGGTGCCAGGGGATGAGGTGGGGCGGAGCAGCAGAACTCGAATCAGCTAGACGTAAGAGTGGCCGTCTGCCAGAGTGACCTTTGGTGCGGGCCCGACGGGGGCCCCTCGATCGCTGAATGCGATGCGATCGGCAGCGGCTTGCGCGCCCCGAGGTGTCCCCCAGTAGCCCCCACTTGGCCGCGCACGAAAGGTCACTCTTGCCCAGGGTCACTCTTGCGTGTAGCTGATCGGGGCAGGCTGAGAGGAAGCGGAGGGGCGTGGGCCCCTCCTCCACCTCCTCGTCATTCCTCCTCTTCCTCGGGCCTCCACTCCTCCTCTTTCTCTCCTCCTTGTGTGCTGTCTGGAGCAGAGCGCAGCACTGCAGTGGAGCTGCTCGACCGCACCTGCTCGAGTCGAAGCGTCGTAGAGAGATGGACACCGCCGACGACCCGACCTGGGCGTAGGCTCGGCACGGGCTAGCAGATTTTGATTCGATTCCGATTCGGCTTGCGCTACCGATTTGCAACCGAGTATATTTCGATTTCGCATCGATTCGATGCAGCGCCCCGGCATTCCGATTCGATGCCGATTCGATGACCACCCGATGCATTCCGGTTCGATGCTGGTTCCGATTCCATTCGATGTTTCGATTCGATGCAGCTGTCGCCTGGCGAGGAGGCGCGCCCTGGGCGGCGGGGGCGGGATCGGGCGAGCGGAGCCGCTGCCGGGCACACGGCGTGGTGCCCGTGTCCTGCCGGGCTGGGCGTGCGGGGCCCCGAGGGGTCGAGGGTTTTCGGTGTGAGGTTTGAGGTTTTCTGGCGTGCTCGTCGGTTCTCGCTTGAAGTCGGCCTGTCCCTCTACAGGAGGAGTGTTCGTAGATACTCCACAAATAGGCTTGCGGAGGACGATCAACGGAGAGGAAGCATGTTGCCAAGTAATTTCCAGATGTCCACAGCATGTGTTAAACATGGTTTGGACATGTTAAAAACAGAGTTAAAACATGTTTAAAAAACATTTCCATTCATTCTAAACACACTTAACATTCAATGGTAGGACTGTTAGGGTGTCCATTCTCAGGGCATCCACAAAAATAGGCAGGGGGGATGTGAAAGTCTTCTCTTGAGACGTTTTGATTCCTTCCTGGCTATCTTTAATTTGTCGCCCAAAATCTAATCCCCAGTGTTTTTGGACTCGGACCCCGCCGATCTGCGTGAGGGGTGCAAATTTTTATCCCCCCAGGAATTCTGAGAACCCTCCCGGGGGACGCTAACCAGGCTGGTTTTCGGCTCCCCCCCGTGCGACCCGCTGTTTATATGATTTCAACAGCGCTTTCTTGATCAATTTACTAGCGATTGGAACGGTATGGACGATCAGTTTACTCATTGTACACGTGCATCGTGTTTTCTTTATTTCCAGTGTCTCTCACTGTATGTTTCCCTCATTCCTCCCCCTCCTCCTCCTGATCATCCTTGGTCTCGTTTTCATGCTCTTCCCAATTTCTATTGGAAGAACAGTGGGAGGAGGTGCGGAGGTCCTATTGATTTCTTATTGCAATCCCACTGCGAACCGAATCATCATAGTCATTGTTCGTGTGCCTGTAATACGCATCTATGTTCAATGTTTCTTCTGCGTGCCACGTTTCACACCCGTCTTCGGCCATGGGCAACCCCTCGAAGGGATCCAAGAAGTACAGGGAACAACTCGACGCTAACAACGAACGGCGGGCGAAGAAACTGAGACTAGTGCACGGACACTAGAAAAGGATACTAGTGCACTAGAAACGTGTCCACGGAGCGCTAGTGCAACTTGGCCGACGGTGCCTTTGCAGTGGCAAATGGGTTACACATTGAATTCTTTTGTGGGGAATTACACATTGAATTTGATTGTGGGCCTTTTTTCATATTGGTTTTAATTGTGGAGACTTACCTATTGAATTTGATTGTAGGTTTTCCACGTTGATTTTTAAGTATGGGGAATTGCAGGGGCTTGCTGTGCGGCCGCGGAGGCTCAGTAAGAAAACAAGAGAAACATAAACACGCTGCGCTTTCACACAGAAAAACAGGAAAACCAAGAAAACATGTGACTGTCAGTTCTTTTTTAGTTGTTCCTGTTCTTCCATTTGAAAACACATTGTTTTTTGTTGTTCCTATGTGTTCCGGTTTTCCTGGTAAGCTTCCGCGGCCCCATTGCTTTTGGAAATTCCCCACTATAGAAATAAATGTGTACATGAGTTACACATTGAATTCGTTTGTGGCGCATGTCAAATTGAATTTGATTGTGGGCATTTTTCCAAACAGGTTTTAATGGTGGAGATTTACACATGGAGTTTGATTGTGGAGCTTTCCATATTGATTCTGTTTGCGGGGACTTTGCAGGGCCTTGTTGTGCGGCCGCGGAGGCTTAGTCGGACAACAGGGAACACATGAAAAACATGTAAAACGCTGTGGTTTCACATGGAACTTTCACATGGAACAGGAAAAACCAAGAACACATGTGACTGACAGTTCCTTTTTCCCCACATCCAAAGTGGGGTTCTTGTTTTCACTGGACACCCCGCGCAGGAACAGGAACCCACCATCATCATCATCATCATCATCACGTATTCCTCACTCACTCACTCACTCACTCACTCACCCACCCCTCACACACTCACTCATTCACTCAGTCACTCACTCACTCACTCACACACACACACTGACTCATCAGCACTCACATCTGATGATGATGAGTGTGCGCGTGAGAGAGTGTGATGATCATCATCATCATCACCAGTCAGTCAGTCAGTCACTCACTCACTCACTCGCTTTGGGCTTCGTTTGTAAGTGAATTTCGAGGAAGTCTCAGGCGGGAGCCCCCTCCCTATGGGGCCCGCGGATCATGTTATCAATCCGGGCGGGTCATCCAATTCCCGTTACTGTCGCCACTTTTGGGCTCTCGCGCTGCCAGAACGCCACTCCCAGGCCACATATGTGAGTGAAGTGCGAGGAAGTCTCAAGCGGGAGCCACCTCCCTATGGGGCCCGCGGATCATGTTATCAATCTGAGCGGGTCATCCAATTCCTGTAACTGTCGCCACTTTTGGGCTCTCGCGCTGCCAGAACGCCACTCCCAGGCCACATTTTGAATGCACGGAGCCAACTGTAGGCCACTTCGTGTTTTTCGTGCCCCCAGAACACCACTCCCGGGCTACATTTTGAATGCCCGGAGCCAACTGTAGGCCACTTCGTGTTCTTCGTGTTCCCAGAACACAACTCCCGGGCCACTTTCTGAATCTCCGGAGCCAAAACAGGAGGGCGAGGTCGGGGGCAACGCAGGGAGCGGGGGGAGGGCCCGCGCCAGGGCGAGAAGAAATATATGCAGAAGAGACAGCCAGGACGCTTCACCAACCACGAGGACGACGGTGAGAGCGTTTTCCAGATTCGCCCTGAGGATTCTCATGCGGGGTCCTTCCGTCGGAGTAATTCGTTTCTCCTGTTGTTCCATGTGAAAGCACAGCGTTTTTCATGTGTTTCTTGTTTTTGTTTCCCGTTTTCCTTGTAAGCCTCCGCGGCCCCAGGGCAGTGTTTTTGGAATTCCCTGACAATTTAATTAAATTTGTAAATGGGTTACACATTGGATTCCTTTTGTGGGGAATTGCAATTTGAATTTGATTGTGGGCCTTCTCAGATTGATTTAAATTGTGGAGATTTACAAATTGAATTTGATTGTAGGGCTTTCCAGATTAATTGTGGGAAATTGCAGGGGCTTGTTGTGCGGCCGCGGAGGCTTAGTAGGAAAATGAGAAAAACTTTTTTTTTTAATGAAAAAAAAACATGAAAAACGTTGTGCTTTCATATAGAAAAACAAAGAAAAAACAAGAAACATGTGAGCGTCAGTTCCTTTTTCAGCGTTCCTGCTCTTCCATGTGAAGACACAGCGTGTTTCATGATTTTTCTGTTTGTTCCTGTTTTCATGGTGAGCCTCCGCGGCCTCAGGGCATTGCTTTTGGAAACTCACCACACTTAAACATCAATGTGTACATGGGTGACAAATTGAATTCCTGAGTGGGGAATTGCAAATTGAATTTGATTGTGGGCCTTTTTTCATGTGAATTTTAAGCGTGGAGATTTACGAATTAAATTTGGTTGTAAGGCTTTCCAACTTGATTCTAATTGTTGGGAATTGCAGGGGCTGGTTGTGCGGCCGCGGAGGCTTAGTAGGAAAACGGGAAAACATAAAGAAAAACAAAACGCTGTGTTGTCATATCGAAAAACAGGAAAACCAAGAAACCATGTGACTGTCAGTTCTTGTTTAGTGTTTCTTGTTCTTCCGTGTGAAAAGCGCAGCGTTTTTGTGTTTCCTGTTTTTTTTTGTTTTCCTGGTAAGCCTCCGCGGCCTCAGGGCACTGCTTTTGGAAATTCCCCACACTTAAAAACAATCAGTAAATGGCTTACAAATTCAATTCCTTTTGTGGGGAACTACAATTTGAACTCGATGGTGGCCTTTTTTCTTTTCAAATGGATTTTAACTGTGGAGACTTACGAATTGAATGTAATAGCAGGGCTTTCCACATTGATTTTAAGTGTGGGGAATTGCAGGGGCTTGTTGTGCGATCGCGGAGGCTTAGTAGGAGAACAGGAAAGCACATGAAAAACATATGGAAAACGCTGTGCTTTACACATGGAAAAACAAGAAAAATCCAAGAAACCATGTGACTGTC